GACTTTTGAGTTGTTGAGTAATAGAAATGTAGAAATTTCAATAATTTTCATCAGTTTATGGAGATTACATTTTTTATTTACTTTAATTGCGCAAAAAGGAAATATCGCACCGTCTTCTGTGTACTAAAGCCAGATCAATCACTCTTCAAGACCGCCCTGCTTCCGGTCATAACATATGTCCCTGTTTAGTGTTTTAAGGCAGGTTTAATCGCTTTTGTCATGTGGACAATGGTTTAACAGATAATGTAAAACACAAATATATAAAGTATAAACTAAAGTCTATAGCGTTCAGATGTGCTAAGAGTTATGAAAGAAATTTAAATACCAATGTAGACTTTTATTTTGAAACGCGCACGTCCGCTGGCAGCGAGCGGAAATTAAAGTGGCTGATTGCAACTTCATGCAGCGCAGACGTGATGTGTGGAAGGCAGTGAATCGTGGACAGTGTATAACAGAAACCCAGTATTCACAGTGGGTTTTTTAAGGTTTAATTGGCTGTATTACGAGATTCAAACCAGTCCTTCGTAATTAAAGACAATGTGTTTCTCTGACAGCAGCCGCTGGTGTTTTCGCGTCTACGGTTGCTAGCTAGCAGTTAATACGAGCTAACGTAACGTCGGGGTCAGAATTCAGGATCAGCAGTAGTCCTGTTTGACGGCGATTTTAGGGATTAGTGGAGTTCCAGACGTCTGTGCGTCCGGTACTGCTCGATTTACCAGAGGGACACAAAATAATTAGCTAAAGGCTAACGTTGTACAGCTAGCTTATATGGTTTATAGCATTCCTCAGTGCCACGGCGCCGTCGTGTCCACGTCTCGTCTGCCAGCTGAGCTAGGCCACGTCCCTGCGGGCGTATTTCACTTGCTAACATTGGACGGATTGCAGTGAAGATGCCTAGTGAGCGGAAGGAGGAAGGAGAGCAAAGATCACTAGAAATGTGAAGGTCCTTTAGCGTTCATGACTGTCTGTTAAACGTCTGGACTTCCGAGCGCTTGCCGCATATACACGGCATGTCACGTAGACGGATGTGTTTCACACCGGGAGAATAGTCTTCACTGAGCTCGTTGGGTTGCAGTAACAACCTGAAATATCGTTAGACTTTGTTTGGGAAATGGTTGGGTTTGGCGCAAACCGACGGGGAGGTCGCCTCCCGTCCTTCATCTTCATCTTCTTGATGGTGATCATCGTCGTGCTGTCTTTCAACTACTGGACAGTGTCCAACAAGCACGGCCGCTTGCTGGATGAGCTGGCGGAGGTGCAGACGCAGGTGAAGCGCACGGACGCGGCGCGGAGCCGGCTGGAGAAGCGGAACTCGGAGCTGATGGTGCAGGTGGACACGCACAGGAAACAGATCGACCAGAAGGATGGGGACTACAGCGTCCTGGAGAGCAAGCTCCAGGCCAAGGATGCTCTCATTAAAAAGTGCACAGATGAAAAGGTACATTTCTCTTTTTGCCTTTGTCTTGGTTTGATCGAGTTAAGTGTCGTTTTTACTGAAATTTAACATTGCAGGTCACGCAAGGTATTAGAGCAGATAAAACATTTCCTGGGTACGGCACAGCATCTATACAGAACCAAGCTTATTCGTCTTTGACCGAGTGTCACTGTAATAATTATGTGTGTTTGGGGGCAAGACTGACTCACTCATTTTTTTTAACCTAGAGGTGGGTGTCATGTTCTCAGGAAAAGCAAACAGGAATGACAAGAAGGTTCTTCATTACACCAAATCGGGGGTGTATGGACAAGTATTACTTGTAATACAAGTAGGAAAGGACAATATTTAGCCTCAGTCATATCACCATGTCTAATTTCACCACCTTATCTCATTGTTGTGCTGTAATCTCAGCACTTTATATCAGAAAGTGCAAATATCTTATGTACTTAAGAGAGGTGAGGCAGGCTGTCTTGAGTATGAGCCACATAGTTTCATCTTTCTCGATTGCTTTCACCTGAATATTTCTCCACCAAGAATATCTTGTTAGAAATTAACAGCTGACAGCTTCCTGAATCAAAAGGGTGTTTATAGGCCTCTTAAACTGTGGTTTTGTAGGTGATTTTCAATTATTTTGTTATTTGAGATGTATTATGTGATGCAGGCTTTGGAGCATACACTGGTGATGTGGTGTGTGCTGTTGGTCCAACTTCAGAGGTGCTTGTGCTAGACAGAGCAGTGTTTCATTCATCTAGAAACAATTCATTTGTGCTCGATTATTTTGGTTTGCACTGTTAATTGTTAGATTTCACTACATTGCTGCCAACTATCTTCCGGTGCATAACAGGGGAAATTACATTCACAAAAGAAAGCAAATTGAATTCAACTTTATTATGTTGTTTCTGTTGCTGATTTGCTCTTTCATTCTATCAGCACATTATTACACGTCTGTGGGGGCATTTATGTATTCACTGTGAAAGGCACATCAAAGCGCGCCACATGGACATTCCCACTTCTTGTCCTGCACAGTTACCCAGCCAGTATTTCACTGGCTTTTATGTCCCAGCACCTTCTGAACTTTTGGTCCGAGTCCAGCCGCCCTGGGTGTGTAATTTGCATCCAGTCTGGCTCGGTTTGATGTTTTTCAAAAGCAAAAGCTTAAAATTGTTTAGCTTATGTTTATCCAGTGTGGATTGTCGCTCTCTGGTTTGACCACAGACGGCAATAAAACAAATGCAGCATTCATTATTTTCAACTAATCGTTTTAACTTCATGCAACCTTATACAATAAAGCAACACATTTATTGCATAGTTACAAGTAAATCTGCAGGATTATCAGGTTGGGTAAGGTTGCGGGTAACATTGCCTTGCTTTGCTCAACATTTATTGATGAGCTGTCCTTAGCCACAACACACAAAACTTTCTCCCAACGTTTGGAGTCAGGTTACTGGTAAAATGTAATTGACCTGCAACATAATACTTATATGATACTTATAAAGGGCTATACATGAACACACTGGCTGAACACATTGTCTAAGCTCCCTTATTTCTTGACTAAATTCCAAGATCCGGCTCTGTGTTTCCTTATTCAGGATAAAGGTAGCCATTAAAGAGTGGTTGTTCTCCTCCTTTCTTCTGTCAACAGACCAACCTTGTTTCAACAGTCTGCCTCACATTGTGAGAAGTGTGTACCACAAAGAAAGTGACGGATAAGTCTGATAAGTGGCTTTCAAACAGTAGAGTCTATAGTTTTGTAAGTTAGGTGCAAGAATGAATTATGGAGCCTTATACTTTTCATTTAGTGTGACCATGTTGTTCTAAAGAGCCAGGCGGCACAGGGAGGCCATTACCCACTTATGAGCGTCTAACAAGCCTTAGTCTTAGAGCAGTTGACATTAATGCTGTATTTCCTGTCCAGTCTTATTGACCTCCTTCTGGCTCAGTCAGTCTGCCCAACTGTTTCAAGAGCTCGAATGCCTAACAATGACAAGTTTTTGGTAGAAAGGCAGATAAAGTATATCCATAAAAATCAGTACAAATCCCGTAGCTCTGCAAATTAATATTTTCAATATGTTGCTTCTATTATTTTCAGAAAATATGGCTAAATATTAATGACAAAATGGTGGGTACATGCATCCTAGTGAGCCTCCAAGATCTTTTTGATGCTTTGGAAAACCTTGCTGCCACCTCAGTTGTATTTATAGAAGTATAACTTCAACTTAACTATAGCTGCTGTTTTTACATTTCATGCTTTGAAATCCATATTTGTAATCTAGTGGGACAGAAAAAATGTAGCTTTTGGGTGTCACTGTGATGTCCAAAGCCTCAAGTTTCCTTCCTTCCCCCTGCTTAACTTTCTTGTTTGGTATTTTACTGCTCTTCATGAGTTTTTGCATGCCATTTATTTTACTAGAACACAAAATAAAGCGCAGCCAGAAGCTTCAGGGTAATAGAGAGACTTTTAAGTTTCACATCATTAATGTTTATTGCGTAGCTGTATTGGATTTTATTATGGTTTACCTGGTGGCAAAGTGTAAATAAAAAAAGCCAAAACCAAAAAGGAAAAAAAACTCATAAACTAGCAATAAATGAGCTTTCAGTTTGTGTGCTGGTGCTTTTTTCTTTTCTGTGAAATAAATCCTGAAACATTTTGTAGATTGAGATCACAGAACAGGCGTTGGATCAGTATCGCATGACTCAGAGTACTGGAATAAAGAAAAGGGTTGTACTGACTGCAACCAGTTTTCACTATGAAGCATAACAGGATTAACCTGTTCCCCTCTTTTCATTCGTGCAGCTGTCTGATAATGCAGGAACCTAAACTGGTTTTATCTTTACCATAACTAATACATGTTTTTTTTTCTTTCTTTTAATGTTGCAGATGAAGCTGCAGGATGATGTCACAGCCCAAATGACAGAAATTCAAAGGCTTAAAGGTAAGACTTCAGCCTGTGTTGGCCAACAGAGGGCACTCTGGCAATTCCTTTAACACAGAATATGTAACATACAAAGCAATTTCATATAGCAGTACAAGTCTTTCAATAAACCTCTTCAAAATGTTTGTTTTTGTGTGTCTGTTATTACAAACAGAGCAGCTAAGGGAGCTCAAGCAAGAGTTCATGAAGCAGGAAGAGCAGCTAAGAGAAGTGAAGAAAAATAACACTAACTTGGAAAGAAAACTGGAATATGAAAGGTATGTTAGTTCTTTACATGTGCCTGAGTCTTAGATATACCCATATTCGAGGAACTGTGAGCTCTCAGAGATTAAGGCTGCACAATTAGTCTATCACAATTTTGGTTTTCCACAATTAAATGAAGATAATTAAACGATATTGAACATGCATGCTACACCAACAGAACGCACAGAAAAAAATCTAATCAGGCACTTCGTAAATCACTGCCTGATGATGTGCCCAGCATGTGCCAATCACAGCTTTCCCCTGCACCGCACAGCATGACGTTTCCTCATTCTATTTGACCGTACTTATGTGGTACAGATAAGACCATCAGAGCAGAAATCAAAAGTGTGGCACAGCAGGAAGTGAAGTGGTTGCTCTTCCAAGCAGATTATTACCCACTGTTTGGAAGTACTTTGGATTTAGGGCAAGTGATGTTAACCAAGAACAAATTCAACAAGTGCTGTAAAATTGCGTCTGCATGGCAAAGCAGTGCGACTAACTTGTGCTGCAGTTTGAGGTGTGTTTTTTGTGTGTTTGCTTAATTGACGCATCAAGGCCAAGCAAAACAGTGTAGTGTTTGCTAACATGAATCGTCAAATTCTCACATCCACAAAAGCGAGCTTGTACAGTGTGTCCGTCCAGCTCACAAGGATTCACTGAAATTACCTAGAGGCAACACTCCATTTGGCCAAACACAGTTATCCAGTAGACAAAGTGAGTTTAATTTAAAAAAAAAAAAAAAAGGGATAATGGTCAACTTACTGGACAAAAGATATCTTATCCCTTTGTGCTATAATTTTTGCAAAAATGGCGCTGTCTGCAAGAAATCTCAGGAAATTATAGAGGGATTGTACAGCTTTCAAGTAACTGGCTACATGCCTATCATGCAGGTATCATGAATGGAGTGAAATGCTATATTTGCTATATTTTGCTTCTAGAAGTTACACATACAATAGTGGAATAAACACATTATTTGTCTGCAAAGGTTTATTATCAGGAGTGTAGCGCAGTGTAAAATAGAGAAAAGCAACTGTTGATTTGATTTTGTTTTATAGTTTCTTTATGTATAAAATTGAAAAAATTCCTTATTGTGCAGATGAAACTGAATGAATACATGTTAACTAGTTTACAGTGTGGACGCCAGATTGCACAACTGAAAGATGAGTATGAAGAAGCAAAAAAGACTCTGGAGGAAGAAACACTAAAGCTAAGACAGGTTAGTCTGATTAATCTTAACAAAAAGGATAAGAGCTATTCTTGTGTTTCTTTAGTAAATGATGAAAAGTTTTGTCTGTGTGGCACATTGCATTTATTCACTACTTTTGGATCTTTAACACAGATGTATTTAAAATAGAAATGAATTGTCCTGTGTTTCTGTTCTCTAAGCTTTCCTGTTCATTAAACAGCTTTGTCTTTTCTGTAATCTCCTTTCCTTTTCAGAGTGCAGTGGATGGTCACAAGAATGTAGTGGGGGGTAGACATGCAGATACAGAGCCTGGTGTGGAGACGGCTGGAGAGCGCCATACAGTGGCCACTCACCGGCATGACAGACACTCCGATCTGAAAGGTAGAGTGATTAAGTTGAGCAACGCTGCTATCGTTTACTTTATGTTGCTTTCTACACGTTAAATGAAGATGTTGACTTTTAGGAGAAAATCATCAATAATAATTGCTCACATGGATCTTTTAATATTTTAATGTAAATAGTAGTTACCTCACGCTGTCTGGTTGTTAATCCTGTTAATATGCTGGCGCTTCACTCCCATTCCCTGTGCTGTGTTACAGAAGAGATGGGTAAGCCCGGCAGTGATGCTGGCATGCCTGGTATTGAAGACAGTGAGGTGGGAAAAATCGACGATGTGCAGTTTGGTAAGTAATGAATGTAAACTTTCAGAGATCAAGCTCAGCAAATTATTGATTTGAAAGAATTCTGTAGCTGTGTAATGACAAAAACATTTGGACTTTTTAATCGGTATAGGTATTGACAGACCATAATCAGCATTAGATTAGGCCTTAATATAAGTAAACATGTTAGTTAGATTTAAATTCACCTCATCACAGTTTCCATGAAGGAAGAAATTTGCTATACAGACTGAATCTGCTTTTCTTTTTTCTTTCTTACCTGCCTTTAAACTTGTTGACTCTGCTGTTTGGCTATTTTAACATGAGAGTCTAAAGGGAATGAGTCACTTCTGGAGTCAGCCTCAGGTGCCGCTTTGAGGAATTATGGTTCTTTTGTGGGCAGCATGGTGGTGTGATGGTTATAAACATTGCCTGATGGGTTTGAATCCATTAGCTGTCCGGAGCCTTTTTGTGTGAAGTTTGTATGTTCTCCCCTTGTCTGTGTGCATGTCCAGGTTACCCTTCCTTTTGCCCTATGGCAGCTGGGATGGGCTGCAGTGAAACTCCCAACTCTAAATTGGACAAGTGGAAGAAAATGGATGGATAGTTCTTTGGGTTTTCAACTTGGGTTTCATTTTTCAACCCCTCAAGGTTGCTTTTTAGTGAAATACAGTGAAACTGAATCTGTAACTAGAGAACAATAACTGACCCACATAGCTTACTTACTTACTGAATAGTGCATATAAAGTGAGGAAATCCTTCTCCCTTCTGTCACTGATTGTAACCCTACCCTTTTTTTCCCCTTTTTTTTAAAAAACAAAATCCTTGTGGCAAGTAGGTCACTGACCTTTCTCACATTGTCTTTGGCCTACAGGCTTGAAGAAACCAGCCATTACCCAGAAACACGACGAAGCCCCGGATATGGCCGTGGGAGCTGGTGCTGGACCTGGAGTCGGGGGAGCTGATGGTCCCGGAGGCCAGGGCATGTTGCTGGACCAGCCCGGACTCCAGCAGGACAGACTGGACGGCCGAGCCGTAGTGATTGCACCTCCAGGCATCAACAAACAGGGAGACAAATCAATAGTATTTGAAGAAGACAACAAAGTGGGTATCAAGGCAGATGAGCTGGGAGAACAGCAAAGGCAACTTCGAGGTGCAGTAACCACATCCATGTAACTGCTATTAATTTTAACAATGTTTATTTTGAGCCTTTAGGCATGGGATAATAATGTGACTACAGCTTATTATAGATTTTTAGCTTTTGGGTGGTTTGTCTTTTGCCACATCTAAACTGAAAGGGGAGAGAACTGTTATCCTGTTACATTATTTGTTTACAGTTCCTCCATTTGTAATGAGTTTTTCAAGTGATGTGTAACCTCTTTCAAAAGTTTGAGTGCTCCCTTAAAGAAGGCAAATATAGCTTTGAGAAAGCAGTACTGGGAACAACTGCGCCTGACGTTTGAAGTATTTGTTTTGTTTTTCTAATAATCAGTTCCCAGTGATGTCAGAGTTGAAGGTGAACACTTGAAGAGGATTCCTTTGCCCCCCAACCCTGCCCAGGTGCCCAATCCCATCCAGCCTCACCACGCCAAAGACCAAGTTCCAGCAGAACCAGTACACCACCGCCAAAGTGAGTTCCTCTAATAAACTCTGAAAAAGTGAACCCTGCTATTGGCAATGAGGGTAGTGATTATTTTCTTTTCTTTAACTCATTGATTGATTCCACTCAAGTACAATTATAGCATTTATGGTAAGTTAGTTCTGTTTATACTTTTCTGAATATCTAATAAGGCAGGGATTAAAATATAACTTACTGTGGTGTCATGTGTACAGTTTTTCCAGTTTCTAAGTCAGTGCATCCTCCTAAACATAACACATTTTCATGAAAGATGGGACTTCTAAGTATATAAGTCCTATCTGAACATGGTTAGGGCTGTCACAGAAGGGTCTCTTGCAGGGGGAGGGAGACAAATGACACACTTGGCTCCTCAATTTTCCTTTCCTGTTACCTCACTTCTGTTCTGCTCTACTGCGCTTTCTTCCTCCTTCTCTCTCTTTTTTAAAATGTTCAGTTCTTTTCTCTCTTTTACACTTCCATCTCATCATCTGCAGCCCTGCTGCTTAAAAAACCCACTAAGTTTTCATTTTGTTTTTCTTCTGCTCCGATCCTTCTAAATTTCAATTTAGTGTGATTTGTTTTTGCTGTCATCTCTGTTTACATTATCAGCTTACAGACTGCACAGCTCATCCCAATTCCCATCCCGATTCGAAATCTGTGAGGGTCTAGACAGGAACATAAGCAGTCTTATATGCTGGTGTGAAAGAAACTGCAGCAGTAAAAACTCATTTTTTTAGATTGATATATATATATATATAAAAAACACAACACACAGTTTGGGGGGGGCAATTTTTCAGATCTCGAGTTATTTTTCGAGTTAGTTTTCAGATCTCTCCAAAGAGGCCTCTTATTTGAAGCCACATTGGACCACACTACCGCCACCACATGCTGTCAATCTTGTGGTAGGCAAACTCTAATTTATAATACTGCATCCAAGACCACGATTGGCTTTTTTTTTTTTTCTCTTCAGAAGGCACCATGTATTTACCTCATCTTTCTCATCTTTTGTCATTCTCTTAATGCAACTACTTTTTCCTTCATGCATACATGATGCAGTATTTCCCCTCCCTATCTTCCTACAACTGCCTTCGCTTCCCTTCCGTCCTGATGAGGCCCTTCTCTGCCTCCTGCAGGCCGATTCTTTGATGAGAACGAGTCCCCAGTAGATCCGCAACACGGCTCTAAGCTGGCGGATTACAATGGGGATGATGGGAACGTGGGTGAGTATGAGGCTGACAAGCAGGCCGAGCTGGCCTACAATGAGGAAGAGGATGGTGATGGTGGGGAGGAAGACGTTCAAGGTGAGCCAGGCCGGGGGATTGGACTGTTTGTCCAGATGTTTATCCACCATTCCTCCTTGCTCCCTCCCTCCACCCCTGTCCTGCCAACCTGCTACATTAAGTAGCTCACAGCAACCCTGAGTTTGGTCTTTACGTCATCGTAAATACAGATATTTAAAAATATATAAATAAAAAATGTGGCAAAAATATCTGAGGATCAAAGCAGAACTGCTTTGTGTGCAATTCAGGAGAATTGCATATTTTTACTCAGCCCTATAACAGTCTTAATACCCTCTTATCTTTTGTAGAGGGAGAACTTGACCCAGGAACTTGCGGTTCTGTGAGAGTAATTGAGTGGTCATCTAGTGTTTTCTGTCCTGCCTATGTTTCGTTTTAGCTAAACCACCTGTCTGTGCCCACCAAACATCTGACCTACATCTAGCCCAGTAGATATATATATATATATATAGCTCACTGTGTTCCTGAATGTGTCTGTGTTCTCCTTGAAATATTGAAATGCATGTCCATGTTTTGTTTGTTTGTTTTTTTTATTGTTTGTTTTTCTCTCTTTGTTTTGATTGCCCTTTGGATTTTAAATGAAATTGCACTATTTCATACCGAAACTACAATAGTATTTTTAGGGAAATTGTGTTTTGTTTGAATCTATCAAAGGAAAAAATAATTTTATTTCTGATCTGGCAGTTCTGTGATTGGCTGTTTTTTCATTTGTCTTACATTTATCAGATACATATGCCATAACATGAAGTCTCTTATATATATACTTGCTATTTAAAGTTACCAACAGGAAAGCTAACATCCTAGAATGATGTGGGTTGAGTTTCTTCTAAAATGAACAATCTGTTGATATATTTCTTGTACATAAATCAGTGTTGCTGAAGGGAATCGGAGAGGGCTCTGGATATTACACAATTCACAGAAGGTTGACATCAACATCCTTTAAAGCTTAAAGTCAGCACTACGATGTTACATTATGGTGTCATCCTCATATACCGGAGATTATTCAGAACACGTAGTAAATTTTTCATCTATTTAATTGTGCATTCTCTAATATTTGTGTTTCTCTCTTCTTCTTTTTTTCCCTCTAGATGATGACGATCGAGATATGCAGGGAGATCGGGCTGTGGATTATGGGAAAAAAAGACATCAAGCCAACGACATTCTTTGAATGGAAACTCATACAATCGTATCTCATAAAAAACACATTCAGACCCATCTCCACAAGTGAGATTTCTCTTGACAAAAAAACATCAGTATGTCTAAGAACTTTTATAGGTTGCAATCTCAATGTCATGGACTATTTTGAAGAACAGACATTGCAGCTAATGAAGTAATTCTAAATAATGTAACATACTATGGAAAAAAACACACAAGGCATTTCTCCAAGCTGCTGTTAATTCGCTAATGGCTTTAAGTTATGACAGTAGAGATAATATACTGTACTTTGACTGTTGAGTATTTGATAACTGCACCGGCTCATGCCGGCCCTAATGACCCACATCTGAACTTCAAGGACAGACCATGTTTTGGTTTAGCTACTCTTCTTCTTCTCACTTTGCTGTTGCTTGGTACAAACTCTTCATCTGAGATGTTTATCAGAGACTAATTTGGCATTCTGCCTTTCTAACATAATCGTGGGACTCTTATATGGAAAACTTTTCTGTTTGTTTGTTTACAAGAGTGGGAATACATTACAAATGCCAAGGACTCTACTCATGGCCTGTTGAATCCGTTTCTTACTTTGACAGACTAAAAAGTGCTTTTCTTTTTTCTTTTTTTCTTAAATGATGCCATTGCATGCATTTGAAACTTTTTATTAATCAAATTGAGCAAAATACTCATGCTTAAGCAATACTTAGAACAATGTTGGTGTCCTACACAGTGTGATTAACCAAGCACATGTGGAGCTGACATACTGTACAAATGCTTCCATGAATGAGGTTTCTGTGAACATAAAATTAGTTCTGTTTGTGCAACCAGGAAAATTGATTTCTCATGGAAAGGCACAGTGAATGTAATTTTATTTTATTAAAGGTGATGCTTCATGTCATTTGTGACGGTACTTTAGAGTCAATGCAGATGCATAGGTTGTCATCCTTCTCAAAATAGTCGTGTTTTGCCTGGGTATCTGTAGTGCATCATATCCAGTGGGGTTTTGTGTTTATTTGTTTTATTTATTTGCTTATTTTGGTTGTTGCTTTGTATTTTACCGCTTGCAAATGATGACCACAAAGACGAGCAGTCCTTTACCTTTATGATCGCTGGCAGAAGAAACTGTTCGCGGCAGTGATCATTGCAGACTGGCTGGTGTTTTTGAGAGGTAAGGGGGTGTGTCTGTGTCCCATACGGGTATCTGCCTCGGAGAGACTGAGCAGAGGCGGGAAATGGCGCCTGGTAACACAACGGTGTGTCATTTTGAAGACAGTCCGTGAGTAGCTATAGAAGGAAAAACTCGGAACCGATCACAAAAACAAACCAGTGCCTCTGCTGTGATGGTTAATCAGCCTTGAGTCATCATCTCCAGCCACTGCGGATCACTGTAAAGTAAGTCGCTCACGCTAACCTACCCCGTTCATTTGACTTATTTACTCCTCATTTATGTAATAGTGGCTAACGACAAGATAGTTATTTTTCCCCTGTCCTGTGCACATCTATTTGCCAGAAGCTGATTTTTAAGAAGGCTCGGTTAGTTAACCCAGCGGTGCTAAGCTAGGTTATATAGCTAAGGACGGCTAAACATGGCCTACCACGGACCTGGCTAATTCCTGAACAACCTGATCTCACGTTTAGTTACATTTTATCTACTCAGTGTTATTACTAAATTGACTACGTTGTTACTAGTTCAACAGTCATATAGAATGTACCTACTCTTACCCAAATAAGGTAACAGATGTAACAATGCAGATTGTCGCCAGGTAAATCCTGCTAGCATCCTTTGAACCTAGCATCCAATTTGGCATTCCTCAGCTGAGTTCCGCCAGGGTGGCTCTTTACCACCGTGCTTTCCGTTTAATAGAATTCAAAGGGCGCTCAGTTAGACGTGTCCGTGTACCCCAGCAGACCGGTGCATCAGCTGCATTGTTGGTTAAATGTAGCGGTGATGGGATTAGCAGATAAAATAGCGCTACTGTTGGCTGTTTTGATTGACGATTCCGAGTTTCCGCTGACAAACATGAAGACAGTAACGCCGTTCGAGTGAACCCCTCCACCAAACTTTACGCCAGCTTGGATGACCTATGCTTTTTATTAAGTCGTCTTATTCATTTTTAACGTCATTCCGCTGAAGGTACGATGTCGCACTGGTTTGCAGACGGTAAGTTAGCCTGTTTGGGGGGTTTGGTTCGTTGAATATGCTAACGTTACTTTTAGCGACCAGAGTGCCAGGTCGCATAAACAATGCAACGTTACTTTCAGGCTGACGCAAAGCCTGACAGTATGATATCAAATTGCGTTAAAGCAGGATTGTGTAGTCAAGTTTGTTTGTTTTTTTTGTTTGGTTTTATTACGATGAACGAAGCATAATTTGACCTCTTGTACTTGGTTCAGTTGATTAGCTTTAGCTGCTCATTTAGCTGGGTATGGTCGGTTCATAACTGATCAAACATTTTCAAACGCCTGTTTTCTTGTCGCTAAGTGAAGTGGAAATAGTGTGAAATACGTCTAAATGTTAGTGGTTTTTGCCGGTTATGTTGTATGATTCATCTGTTCGTTAAGCAACTTAGCCAACCCTAGCCTCGGGGTAAATTTTGCAGAGCGGACGGGTTGTGCGAAGGGCCTCACTCGTTTTTCCAGTGTGTTTTCAGGGCTAGCGGCTAGCTTGCTCATACAATCTCAGCTGCATGCATGTTCCTATTTCCCGCTCTCTTGCTGTGTGCATGATTCTCGGTCAGTGGCTGATTTCCTTGGTGAAGCACACATTTAGTGCATGCTGTGCTTGAAAGGTAGACCTTTAGTAGCTTTGCTGTTGCCGTCTTGAGCTTTAGTGGGGTTTGATCGTACAGCAATTAAAACAAGCACTTAAATGATTCTTTATTTAGCAGCAACTCGAAAGTCCGGTATGCTGCGCACATTCCCGTGAAATGCACAAGAAAGAAAGGCATGACTACACAAAGTAATGGACATAACTGTGTTCCTTCATTTCTAGAAAAACCCCTATGCAAAGTGAACGCGTAAAGATGACATATTTCTACTCATAACACTTTGTAATTAGGAGAACAGCGGTGTCAGAAGTTGTCGTTCTTTGCTAAACACATTACCATAACAAAAACAAGTAGTGACAGTCTGCAAAGATTAAAGGTAACCGCTGGGATATTGGAATCAATAATACTTGATACTGCAGGCTATAATGGCATATCGATCACTTAAACAAAAACCAGTGTGAGCTTCACCATTATTTTGAGTGTTTCCACTGTAATGTAGAGGAAACAAGAATACATTAAACCAGTGGGCAGAATAGTATCAAAAGTAAAGTTTTAGTTATTGTTTTCTAAGATTTAACAAGTAGTATGTGCTAACATAATTGATATTTTATATATTAAGGGCTGTGTAAGGAGTGCTGTGGTGGATTATCTACAATGTCAGTTATTTTGGAGCGTTTAAAAGTTTAAGAAAAATGAGTATAACAAAGAAACTCGTATGGTTTAAAAAAGCTAAATACAAGATTTGATAACGATATTTCAACAAAAAAAAAAGCTAGCTGAATAAAGGTAGCAGGTAGACGCATTTTAATCCTAGACATTTTTTCTTGTATACTTTTGTGAAATCATAAAACTCACTGAGAAGGGAAACCTGAAATTGTTTAATAAAGAAGCTTTTATTTTGTGATCTTATTTTAGTACAGTGTAAGTGTTTGTGCCAAGATGATGGAAATGCGGTGTTCTATAAAGTAAAACAGGATATTTCAGGAGAATTAAAGTGCACAAGTAGACTAAAATAATCTTCTTTTTAACTCTCAAAAGCATACACATACAGTTTAAAATGTTCTAAAACTGGATTAAATTAGCAGGTTTATTACAAAATCTCTCCTCATGGCCTTATTTACATTTTTATTTTATTTTTTTTCCCCAACAGCCCCCTCAAATGAGAAACTTTTTTTTAAACTATTTTCTTAAGGAAACCTATGTATAATAAATCATAGACTGCATCCTTCCCTTACGAGTACAGTTACAGTGAAGTAATGACACTGTCTTCACTTGCTAAGTTATTTGATACTTGGAGCAGCCGCAGCTTTCAGGCACACTGTCAGCATGCACGCTCCTGGTGATGTTTATTTTTTTAAGTATTTTTTTTTTTCACTCCCCTGTATGTGGGATTGGGCAACAGCGTGCACACTTGTGGCATGTTCATGGATACGCCCCTGTGTAAATGTGAAGCAGATGTAGGGAAGTACATTTACAGTATGTGAGATGTGTACTGTATCCAATGAGAAGGTGTGTGTGTGTGGACTGCTGCTGGATATGTCTGGACACATTTTTAGTTGCGTAACCACAAAGGCCAGGCATGCTTGACAGTTTTTGTTCACTGTGAATTGTTTTTAAGTTTTCTGCAAAGGTTGGCGAGGACAGTGCTAAATCACTCAACGAAATATCTGTAGTTCCCTCAGATTTTGTTTATATTTACGTATCGTTATTCAGCTTATGTCTAACACGGGCTCGCCTTTAACATTAATCTTACAAGCACACTCGAGTGGGAGTGTTTGAGTATATGTACAGTAAGATCCTGGGTAACTTTTTTTTTTTCCATTAGTGGTACAAATGAAAGTAAAGCCAGCTGTTGTTGCTGGATCCACTGATGTAAGTGAAACGGGATCTTGAATGCATCCAGATGTTGGTAGAAAATTCACCAGTGTTACTCCTCTGCACACAGATGCAACCCGTTGACTCACCCATTTTAAAAGTTAATGCATTCGAGACTGCTAGAACAACTTGTTTGTACTCATTACCAACTGAACGTTTGCTTAAATCTGTTGTCTCTACTGTACAGCCATAATGATTTCCTCTGTCTCTTCCTGTATTTGCTCTTTTTTTGTTTCCTTTTTCTGAAACAGCCTTACATGTGACTGCTAAAACAATGAGGCTGAGAATGCGTAAGGCGTCTCAGCAACCGAACCCCACTCTGGCAAGCCGCCCATCCCGAACCAAGCGGAGGCATTCAGAAGTAGAAGAGGACACTCCTACTACTGGGAGAGGATTGTTCTCCACCATCAAGAAGTTCATCAGAGGAAATGCTGTAAAGGTAACCTCTTCCAAGCTCGCATCACCCAGTCTGTGAGCAGTAAAAATAAAAATTTGTAGGCAGAGAAGTTATTCTCCTGCTTTCTTTTTTTTTTAGCTGTTAAAGAGATGAAAATTTTTTGGGCGCATATGTTAAACACTGCTTTAAAAACCAATGCGCTATCAATGTCTCTAAGTTTAACACAGTGTTTCTTGGTGGAGAGTGTCATGTTTCCCAGGAAATGTCTGGTGGAATGCAGCAGCTTGTCTGAGAACTCGGGCTCTGGTCTAATTTTAGCTTCTGGCTCACAGAGTTGGTGTGCAAGGACAGGAGGTGGTAACAAGTGGAAAAGTCAACTCTGCTTAGAGACGTTTGTCCTATGAAAAGACATATGGCCATTTTGATAATCACACTATACATTCTAGGTTTCTCCCTGCAGTTTCCTATGAAGTCCCAAAAGGTGTTTTATTTTTGTTGTTTTGTTTTTGCCCTGTCTCTATAAATATGTTTTTAACTCCTTATTGGGGGGGGAGCTTAATTTAGATTCTGACCTTT